TGTGCAGATGCTCAGGTTGCAGAGGGAAGAAGTCACAGTGTTTTTCTCAGCATCACTCAATGCTCAGTGATCCATACAGCATCTATAGGTCATGGCCAAATTGACGTTTTCATGTTCAGATTCAGACAGATTAAACACTGTAAAACCATTAAAAACATCCCCAAATACATATATATATATATATTTAACTTACAGCCCTAATTATAAATCTTGCCCATTTGTAGACGATTTTTATGCCTGTCACATGACTATTCAGCCTAGATGTTGTTCAGGAACACCTACATTACACCATGGTCCCAGAGAGAGGTCTAACAACACATGAGGTCCACTGTGCTAAAAATCCTCATCTGACACATGACTGAACTGATGCACATGGCAGCCGTTAGCTGACCTGTGAGGGACCAGCTGCTGTTGAGCAGTACAGTGATGACTCAACACTGACCTGAGGTGCTTCCCTGTGCTTATTCTGTTAAGTTTCAGCTTGGCAGGCACATGGGATGGATCAAGTGATGTCTGGCACGAACTCAGGTGGCTGCTAGATGATAAATGTTGTCTCTACATGCCTTTTTAACTGATAGGTAGATAAAAAACACAAACTGAGATTTGAGCCTGTAATATTTTTTACTATTTGGTTAGCTACTATAAGCCACAACTCATTCATTTATGTATTCATTTATACTTTAAAAGCCTCACTGCAAAAAAATATATTTTTTATATCAGATATGAACATATATGTATATATTCTTGCAAATGTAATGTTGCACTATTAGAGCATCACAGTATTTAAGAATTTCTGCACAGAGTTTACGGCATTCAAACAGTTATACTGGTGTTTTTTAACTCATTTACTGGTCTAGAAGTCACATTTAATTTACACACACTTTAAAATAATGTAATTTTAATTGTAGATATATTAGAAAAGTCTGCAACAAGACAAAACAGTACTTTAACCAAAATAAAAGCAGACATGATGCTTACTGAGATGGATCACTTGTCTCAAGCCCAAGATCACAAATTTGCACCAACTTACAAATTGATTTCTAATAAAAAATGTATCCAAATGTGCAAAACCTTATAATGACTTTTGGAAAACAGCTGCAGTAGAACAGTATGCTGCAGCTCCACAGTGATTAACAGGTGGTTCAGCTATCTGTGCAGTAAACAGTGAGGTCTAATAAAGTGTGTTACAGCGTCCATTACAGTACTTTTGTACATACTTTTAAGTGATTAACTGAAGTCTGGATGAGGCAGCCTGTTCACATCACAGCATAGATACAAGACTCAACCAAAGGTTCACTGTGTATACACTCATGTGCCTAAATAGAGGGATCGCTGAAGCATTTTAAGTGCTCTTTGACTTGCTGGACTGACCCTGCAGGTGCTTGTTAGTGTGCACTTAAGACAAGGGTCACACTCTGAGTGTATCTATACGCAGATAATCACTCCTCATGAACTTGAGATGTTTCAACATACTGTAAGAGCTGAGTCTGTCACATCTCAGACACAGCTCTACTGTAGGTAATCCTGACCATCTTTGGCAATCTGTTCCCATGGTGTCCATTCCCTCATTTGTCCATATATAGCAGCAGCCAGGGTGATGAGGGAAGACTATACCCACACTCATATTTTAAGGATTCTGTAAACATTTAACCTTGATCTCATTGTTTAGTGCAGGTGTTTCTTTCATTGTTCAAGAGAAAACTGCCATGCTGATTTGTGCCTCTGTTATGATCCATCACTCACACTTTCCTACCATTTCATGGCCAGGTCAAGGGTCAACCCTACAAACTTAAAAACACATAGACACAAACTGCTGTTAAAAAATACACCATGAAGACAGGAGAGTGCCCCCTACTAATGGCACTGAAAACAAACAGCCTTAATGGACGCACTAAAGACAGCTATGTGTAGTATGTCTCACTGTCTCCATGTCACCTCAATGCCAGCCATCTCTGGCTCAAACTGGACTACAATGAACAACAAGCGTCACTGAACAGGACACAGTTGGAATCCACACAAATCTGCGCAGTATATATGTGGTCATTTCTCCCAAAGCTTTCAAACCTTAAACAATCAGCAAATGCTGAAGTCATTTTATGTTTAAAAAAAAAAAAAGAAAAAAAAACCTGTCACGAGGATAGAGCAAGCAAACTCACCAGATATTTGGCACACACGCTGATAGTCCTCGCAGCAGTCTCCGGTTTTCTGACAGTAGGTATCACAGTAGCACACCGTTTTTCTCTTGGTGTACTCAAAACATTCGTTGTTCCGGCCGGTGCAGCAGTTTGGGACCTCCCTGTCCCAGCAGCCGGCTTCAGCCTTTGGAACAATTTCCCCGCAGAAAAACGCTAAATATCCACAAACGACAAACCCAAGACGCGCTGAGCTCCATCCATGCGCTCCCATGCTGGAAACTTCTCTTGGTCCACTTGCTCCACTGGTGTATGGTTCTTAAAACTGACTTGTGCTGGAAAGACGCTGGTTATATTTTCTATTTTCTATATAAAATCCAAATCCGGGTTAACTTTGGCATTGACACCTACACGAACAACTGATGCGTAAAAGTGGAGCCTGTGTGCGCACCAACTCTCCTCTAATCAGTCAGTCGGACACCGCCCCTTAGAGCTTTCTGTTGGTTTTTAGGTTGGCTTTTAGGAAAGGCGTACAGTACCGGTATCTCTCTCTCTCTCTCTCTCTCTGTTTGTCTCTCTGTCTATCTGTTTGTCTCTCTGTCTCTCTGTCTCTCTCTGTCTCTCTCTCTCTCTCTCTCTTTCTCCCCCTCTATTGCGCGCGCTTGGTTGCGCAATATCTGTACCTCAACAATTGAGCGCTCTTACAGAAGTTCTGATTATTCTGTCAAAGGGTGTTGGACTACATCTGCTGCTGAAAAACAACTGATTGCAGATTAAGATGATGTGCATTTTTGGGAAAGACTGCCAAACCAAACAAAATATCCCCTAATGCAGGCATTTATAGTGACTTGCACGGTTGCACCTAAAGCATTTCAAGGAATCCAAAACATTACCTCGACACGACTGAACATATATCTGTGAAAAGCATCTTAAAACTGTCAGATCCGTTTGGCTTCCAATCAGACAATCCAATTCAGCACCACTGACAGCGGCGCCACCTCTTTATGTCAAAATACCAAATACGGATACAAAAAAAATACGATTCAGCCAAAAGCTACTGCGAAAAGCGACGAGGTCCTTTTGGAGCTGCTACAACGAAATGATCTCCACTCATCCCGTAGAGCATCTACCCTTTTGAAGGAATACTGGAGAACAATAACATTACTCACCCTTCACTGGTTCAGAGTGAATGGAGGCTCTCGGGGAGACACTGAGCAATGGGGTGATACTGTAAAAGCGCACCAGGACGAGAAAGAAACGAGACAATCGCCATTCTTGAGAGTTATAAAGGATTCAAATCCCCTACTTCAGTGAAACCTCCAGTGCCATGTGGTTCACATATTATAAAGGAAGTTGTGTTTGATGTATCTGTAAGATATAAGGATTAGCTGCTCTCATTGCTGTTTGGAGACCTGTTAGAAACTTTCTTTTATGACTTTTCTCTACTTATTTGCTTTTTTTTACGTTGGAAATACTGGACATTTTAACCTCTTCATGGCTCTAATGATTCTCAGATGAGACAGAAAACTCACGTCTACATTAAGGCCATAATCTGTGATATAAGGTCACAAGGAGACATGGTTTCATCTTAAGGGGTCACAAACCAATATGGCTGGAATCCACCAGTAGAAAGGGTTTCCATCTATGAAACACAGTGGATCAAAAGTATAACTACTACTACTACTTTACATAATCGAATACTCAGTTAATTGTTATTGAAGCCTTCATGTTGGGCACGATAAAGTAGTGGAGCTGTAGAGCAACTCAACTTTTCATCTCTTGAGTTCAAAGACGATCTGTGACTAATGTCTGTGAAGATGATAAGACATTTTTAGGCAATTTTGGTCCAGTCCTCCATCAAGCAGCCGTGAGGAGGAGGAGGGAGTGATGATGTTAGGATGAAGGTAAGTTAGTAGGTTCTTTGACCCTTCTCATAAAGCCCTATTGTACAGATATGAAGAGAGAGAAGGCCTCTCTCATCACTGAGGTGTGTGTGTGTGTGTGTGTGTGTGTGTGAGAGAGAGAAGAGAGAGAGAGAGAGAAAGAGAGAGATATTCACAATGTTTCATGTGTTTGAGGGTCTGGCTCCACCTACTGTTTAAGATGATTTCTTTGCATGTACTGTATTTGTGTCTTAGTATATTAGTTCACACTTCATGCTGCCATGATCTCCTGTTAAACTGGTATTTATTAACTTACTATAGACTCCTACTCTGCTGCATAGGACACTGATTATTCTGACAGTCCACTGGCCTACACCTTCACACACAGCAGTTGTAGAAAGTAACTAAATGCTGTATTTTTAGGGCACTTTTTAAGGCTATTTTATACTTCAACTCCACTATATTTTTACTCCAATACATTTACTTTAAAGCATTATTTACTTTACAGATTCAGATTATTAATACAAAATAATATATATGATTCTTAAATAACAATAATTCAGATTATTAATACAAATGTATTAAAAGATCTGAGTACTTGTCCAACACACTCACACACAGTATTTCAGTACACTTTTCTCACTTCCTCATTCAAGCCAAAATGTCCACCACATGCTGTCCTTACTCCCATCTTCTGCAGAGAGCCATGCATTCCTTCTCACAACAAACACTGGGGCACCAGGGATCTTGGTCTGTGTGTGTGTGTGTGTATCTGTGTGTAAGAGAGAGAGACTAAGAGAGAGAGATGGGTAGTTGAATCACTCTACATGACAATCAGCCAAAACTGGAACAATGGGGTCCCTGTTCATTCCTCATCTACCTGCCCCCCATGGTTTGTCCTGACGTGATCTGTTGTAACCAAAAGGGCAGAACAACAGACGAACGAGAGAGAGGGAGGATAAAAAACACAACCAGTCTGCATGCCTTCAAGTTTTCAGATGCTTGATTTAATGAGTTTTGAAATCCCCCTACTACAAAGGACTTTACATTAAGTACGGACAAAAGGAGGATACAGTGTTTATTGCACAAGCGTCATCATTAAGAACCACATAGCCTACACACACTGCATTGGAATACATTGATTTGCAATAACAATAACATTTTCTCTTGGCTATTTGGCAGTCGGGAACACAAGCATTTTGTTTGGCGAAACAAAAAAACAAACAAACATGATTTATGATACAGTTTTTAGCGTAATACATATAGATTATGAGCGTTTTCATGTCACTAGTGATGGTAAAAGGAGGAAAAGCAGTTTTTGTTCATACAAAAACAATATAAATGTACCACAGAAATCTCAAATTGACTGTAAGATGATTAAAGAATTTAACACTGTATGTTGATAATAGATGAGAATATTTCTAGTACCCACAAACCATAACAGTAAAAGGCACATGAGTGAGAAGTAAAAACAAACCCTGAATGAAACAGAACAGCACCTGAAATAGATTTGAACAATTCATAACCCCTCAGATTTATCTTATGACTCGTTCCCAGTTGGGAACTGTTGGCGTGGAGAACATATGTAGAAGGGAGAATCACAAAGATTGAAAACTTCTTCTAATGTAATCAGAAGACAAATAAGCATCCGGTGGTAGTATGCTGATGAACAGCGGTGTTTCCATTGGCAGGGAATAAGAGGCCTGAGGTTACTTCGTCTGTATGACTCAGTGCCGTTGGGTCATTTAGACTCACAGTGAAATAGAGCAATTAAATATTTTCCTAACATCTTAAAAACACCTTCACACCCAGACCCGATCACACAAAACACACGACACAAGTGGCACAAGTTAACAGCAAATAGCCTCTCAACCATCTACATATTCAACATTCAACTGCCAATAAATACATTTATAAAGTATAATATAAGTCATAATATTTGCTCCTCTTTTGTTAAGATCATTAAGCTACTGCATGTTCTTACTCCGAACACACCTTCATAGTATAGGTTTGGCATTTGGCACAGGAATCAAATATATCTTACTTTACAGATAAAATATAATGCTAGTAATGAACTAAATTAGAATCTACACTGTATAAAAATAATTGGCATATTATTTTTTTTAAATAATTCTCTTAAAGGCCAAGTTATAGAAGTTACTGCAGCTTATGGGGCTGTAAACTGCAACCAGCTGTAGTCTGGCTCCTTTGGATTTAAAACCATACTAGGAGACAGAAAGCAACACTAACTCAAGAAAATCCAGTATGACACCTGCATACTCCCAGTAAACATCAGTAAAACAGCTGTGAATGACTAGAAATTATGTTTTTCACTGAAGGTGGGTATTTTACAAAGTAGGTTTATAAAGACAGTGAACCAAATAACCTGATTTCTGTAAAAATGTTGTTTATAACCACAAAAATGTTTAAAGGAATCACGTTGTTGACCCTAATACTCAGGGTTTGATCTCTAGAACGAAGTATCTTTTTTAACAATTATTTGGTAAACTTTATAATCCCACTTTGTGAAATCTACCCTTGTTCTTATCAGGTGTCTCGGTGCTGAGCAGCAAAGCTCTGCATACACTCCAGCTGTCCAGATGTGGGCGACATTGAGCCTCTTTTCAGGCTATCTTTCTTCTCTGCAGCCACCGTCTATGAGCTCCTCAACTTCCTGATTAGCATATGACACGGATCTAAGTTCAGCTCTGTACCAGCAGCTGGTTTTTATGATACAAAAGAGCTCTGTGAAACTTGGAACTGTGTCTGATGCCTGGGAAGCAGGAAGCTGCCGCCCCCTCTGTACGTCAAATAGCTCATTCCGTCTTCCAGACCGTATTCAGGACCTTCACCACCTCCTCATAGATGATGAAAACTATGGCCACATCCAGACACACACGGCCCAGCCGAGGAACTGTCCCTTTGTAAAATCTACAGATGGACACAAAGTAAGAGAGGGGTGAGTATAAAATATCAGTATTTAGGAAAAGGCACATTTATTGTTGGCTGATACATCTCTATATCCAGTAGCACTACAGTAACATACAGCTATTCATTCTAGGTAAAAAATAAATAAAAATTGGTTGTTCAATCCTACTGAATGTAACATAAAGCATTATACAGATAAAATATGAAAAAATATATATATACTCAATACTAGGGTTATAAATAGGTGTTTAGGCTTGTTGTTATAAAAGGGGATAAAAGCCCCCCCAAAAAAAGACTCAAATAAAGTGGAGGCGTACTCACGCTGCCAAGCCCTCATGTCTCAGGATCTTTGAAGCACAGTCCAATGTGCTTTTATATTTATGTGCTTCCAGACCCTTTGGAAAGAAAACAAAAGGCAATGTTATTTCTAATTAATGTCAGTAGGTGGCAACAACTTCAAAGGTTTGAATTAAATCACCAGCAAGGAACACAAAGACCCTGAGCTTTGCCTACAGCCATCATATTATGTACCTGCATCCTCGTCTTAATTACATCCAGTGGGGTGTTTCCAAAGACACTGGCAGCTCCAGCTATGGCTCCAAAGGCTCCAGTCAGCAATGGATTGATAGCTTTGTTGGGGTTATCACCTAGTGAAAGGACATAACAGAGTAGTAAGTAACAGTGAATGCTTTGATACAAATTTAGTCCTGGTACTGAACAGCTGAACAGGATGGTGAAACCCTGCAAGCAGTTTGCAAACACTTTGGACCCCAAGTGTGTCCATATGAACACTGTACAGACAAACACATACAGCCTTATGCACACTGACCTTTGTACCAGTTCTTGAGAGAGGTCATCACAAAGAATCGAATAGCTTGGTTGGAGCCTTGTTTGAGGACTGTGGCAGTGAGACCCTGGTATGTTCCACTCAATCCTGGTAAGGCATGACAAGTGGGTACATTTATTAGTAAACAACATCTGGAAGCTGCATTACCCTATCTGACCAGTAGATGTCAGATGAATTACATCCACTGAAACTGGTGTTTACCTTGTGCCCTGACAATCTCTCTGACTCCGTGGAAGAAGCCCTTGTATTTGGGGTTGGCTGAAGTCTGGTCATGAATGAATTTAACCTTGAGAGATAAAAAAAGAACACCCAAAACAGAAAATGTTGCTTTACTAAGAAGGGAGACACACATTGTGGTGAAAACGGCACAAATATTTAGTCTGGTCGTCTTTTAAATGAGACTTTCAAATGAAACTGAGTTCAGTGAATGTGCAAGGACACAATATTGAACAATTCTACTGAAATATAGTTAGCTTAGAAGAGTGCTGCTCATTTCTTTGTTTGGGTAGTTAAGAATGTCCTGTGCTTTGTTTCAGACATCACACATATGTTCCAATACTTATACAAAAATTAAAGTACACAGGACTGTTTTATGTGTATTCAGGCTGTGCACATAGTATGTATGACACTAAAATCAAACCACAAATCTGACCACTGATCAGCTGGTAACATACCTTGACAGTTTCCATGGGACAGACCACCAAAACAGCCTCCATCACCCCGGCTCCAAGCCCACAGAGCAGGCCTCTGGTGCTGTCCAGTCGACCAGACTCATCCTTTGCATGGTTACTGAGAAACTCAAAGATCCCGAACCTGAGGAACAGAACAGAGCCAGCAGGGAAGATAAGTTAACACAGGACTGCTGACTACTGTGAATAATCATTTGTGTAATTAAACAGTACATCTCTGCAAACAGGTCTGTGACAGGTTTCAGTTGCCTACTTTTGTTTAAAATCCTGGAAGAACACATATTACACAACATTTGGTAAGATAAACTAAGTAACATAATAACAATTCTTAAGATGGCAGGCTTAAGTTTGTTATGTTGTTATGCCTTTCCACTTGTTTGTTGGAGCTCCATTTCAATCATTTGAGGCCAAAATATTAAACTGTTCTGCAATCTGGTTAATGCAGCTTTAATAACCGGAGATCATCTTCCACTTCATGTTTTGGTTTACTAAAATGTTACTTAAGTATAAGTTTAAATGTAAAAAATAAAAACCACTAGATGACAACACTGCAGTCAAAGGTAATGATATTCCTTGTATTGAGACCACTACACCAGTAGCATAAGAAAAAAGGCCACAAATAGAAAGATAATCATGCCGCCCCTCATCAGCAGAAATCAGGCAGTAGAGGAGGACATTTCCAGTTCTGTGATTCATCGAGTACCAATAAAAGCAGAACCACGGATGCACCTCAAGGCAAAAACATTCCTTCCAACTCAGATTTTTTTTGGAGACAAATTGCTGAAAGTGCAGAATGTGCTCAGGGCTTTCACTTTATTGTCTTGCCTGCGTCCTCATTAAAGATGCACCAATAAACTGTCGTGTCTCAGTAACCAACAAGTGACCAGCAACAGCTGCCATGGAAGCCAGCCCAGAGAGAGAGAGAGACACCACGAGTGTGGTTTATGTATCCCCGCAATCAGAAAATGTTGTGCCAGCGAGTCCTTTATAAGAAAGGTTATTTATAGATGGAATTGAATTGTGGTGAAGGCAGGATGCTGCCCGGTACATTTAGCAAAGGGGCGGGGGAGGACAGACACTCGGTCTTGATAAATGCTTTGTTTTCCTCTCCGTCTTTCACCATTTACCTGCCGTCCTCAGGGGTCTAACAGAATTGCTCTCTTATACTCGGCTCAGGCGATTTTAGTTTCCTTCTCCATCTGCCTTTCTATGGCAAGATTTTCCTCCGTTCGTTAACCTTCCACATCTGTTCGTCTTTACTCACTCCTCGCACAGATTTAGTTTGTTTTGAAAGACAGGCTCCACACAATTAACTGACTCCCACTGTCAAGCGGGAACAAACAACACATAAAAATAAATCCATTCGTCTCTCTCTTTATGCACACCACTTGCTGACTACAAACAGCTTTTTAGCTTTGGAGAGATTGAAAAATGAAAAAGCCTTCTTCCCTTCAGCTTTCTTAGACTGCACAGAGATGGCAGTGCACTTAATAACTAACCTTGTGAAACAAATGCTATTCATTAAAAGTCGCTGGAGAGAAATATGCCACTGCCAAGCCTGATACTGCGCCAATTTACTCTCCAAATTCTCCAATTTAACAAGTGGACTAAACTTCACAGTTAAAATATGACCCATCACGTTTTGGCCGACATCCACAGTCAGAGATGAGTCATTCTGGACGGCAAAGTGCTGCCCAGTCTTCATTAGTGGGTCTTTCTACAAGGTCAGTTGTCTTAATGGGACGAGGAGTTGAAGGAGAGAGAAAAGGAGGCTGGGCGGACAAGACAGAGGGATGTAAATATGGATGAAGGGTTAAGCGGAGGAAAAGGTCAAAGGCTCTCTTGTCTGTCCCTCTTACACCTCCCTGACAATCCTCCAGCGGACAGCATGGTGCATGATGGTGCAAAGGCAATCAGTTAATGGGATGTGGGGAGGCAAAGGAGGGATAGGAAGGGGGAGGGGAAGTAAGATAGAGGAAGTAAAAAAAGAACACATCGAACAAACGAGTCACTGCGGCCAACGGAAAAGTGCCAAGGTATTTTCCACAAATCAAATCTACTTGTTCCCATCTCAGCGGCTTTCAATATCTCCATCATGTTTCATCTTTTTATTCACCTCCTAATGTTTAGCTGTATCAAATTAGTTGTTTAAGCAGATTTAGGTAAGCTGACGATCGACAGCCTCCCACATGATCGTAAGATAAATCTGAGGATTCATGAGATGATTCACAAGATAGGAAGACGAAAAAATAAACAAATTCTACTTCACTTTTTGCATTTTTTTGTGAATTACTGAATTGTTTCAACTCATGAGGTCTAGAAAACATTCAAATAAGAGAAGGGGAAAAAATTCACTTGGTGTGAACAGCTCACAACCAAAAAACCCCTGAAAACCATACCAAGAGTCATGAGTAGATACAGGGTCCTTTTGAGGGGTCTATAGCTAAAAAGAAGCCTTTTTCTGGCCTAAATAATTGAATCAAAATGTTTAACTAAAAAACACCAGGTTATATTTTTATATGCAATTTAGCCACTTATATACATTTTTATATACAATGTAGTCTGATGACAACGGCTAAAAGACGACATGGCTTAATCCTCTGTACTCCTTCATGCTATATTTCCTCTGAGGAAACTCTCCTTAGAGCAGGAACAAAACCATTCACCCTCCCTCTGGAAAGGCTGACTGACAAACTCAAATGTGCACGCACAAACACACTCACGCACACTGTACATAAACATACACACACCCATTGACAGAGTACCAACACACGTCTCCCTCTCTGTACCCCTATTGAGACCCTGCCTGAGTTTGAGTGGCATCTTTTCTCCGCCTGGCTGAGCCTGTCTCTCCATCGTACAGACAGGCTCTAACACACACACAGACAAACACACATACACACACACACAAAGAAAGAAAGAAAGAAAGAAAGAAAAAAGAAAAGAAAAAAGAAGAAAGAAAGAAAGAGAAAGAAGAAGAGGGAAAGCAGGCAAGAATGAAAGAATAAACAGAATAAAAAACGGCGACATTAAACGTGTGTGTGTGTGTGGTGTGTGTGTGTGTGTGTGTGTGTGAGAGCACATGCACTGCAATGTACACACTTGTCTGGAGATAAATGTCATTGCTGTGAAAGAATAACGTAATTATAGTGAAGGCGAGTGTGGCATTTATGCCTTGCATTGTGGGTAATGGACTAGAATAATTGGAGTGTGTGAGTTAGTGATTCCAGGTAGCGGACCACAGAGGCTTAGCTAAAAGTGTGCATTTTATTGCAGCCTTTACTGCACAAGTGAAGTGGTTACTCTACTTTTTATATTTATTAAAATATGAACAGATAGTAAGAAGTAGTGAAAAGTGCATCAGCTCTGCTGCTACTATTTATTTTAAAGGTCAAACAACATGGATCGAGGACTGCTGTTAACAGGAGTTATGTGCTTTCACTGTGTTTGTGCACTTTATTCAGTCATTCCTAATTTTACTGATTGGAGGAATCATTGTGTCCTTCAAGAATTGCGTGAAAATTACATTTAACAGCAAAATACCAGCAAAATGTGATATGTGCTTATTCAATCAGTTATTCTCTAAATATAACTGAAAGCTACTTTTTTATCTTTACATAGGTAGAATTTTATGTCACAAATTCACCTGTGAGTATATATATATATTAGTCTTGCACATTTACTTAAATATTTCACAACCCTTTCAGTTATTTTACTCACCTGACTGCAGATTTGGGAATGGATCCATACAGCAGTGAGCTTAGTCCTCTGTACAGTCCTTTGACACCGTGACCCTGTACGGTCTGTTTCACACAGTCACCTGAAGGAAGACACAATTATTATATATTCGATTATTATGTCAAAAATGACACTGGATGTTGTGTATTACTGCATACAATTCAGTGTTATGCTGTTTGACTGCACAGTGTCAGAAATATGTTTTTTGAGGGATTTGAGTGCAATAATTCTTTTGAGAATATCCCAGTTACCATAGTAGTAAGTCATACCAATAATAGCATAATCAATTAAATACAACAGTATGTATGTATGTATGTATGTATGTATTTGCCCTGTTACTGAATTACCCTTATAAAGAACACACCAGAAACATCTGTTCTTCACTGTTGGTTCGTCAACATCAAAAGGAACATATTGAACCAGAGGCTCATTTCCCCAAAACTTGGTGTTTTTCTTTGAACTTGGAGACTTCAGTCCAGTAATCCGTGTTCTGCTATCTAGCCAAGTGCAAAACTGAGCTGAAAAAGCAACAGCTGTCTTGAGCACTCATTAGCATGGTCTCCCATCCTCAGAGCTCCTCAACATTAACACATCCTGGGTGTGTGTGTGTGTGTGTACGCTGGAATGCATGGATGTTGAGTGTGCATGTGTGCATCGGTCTGTTATAAGTCATATAAACAAGCACAGTGACAGCCTGCCAGAATCCCTAATGTACCTGGGGATGATGGGTAATTAGATAATGAGCTCCTGAGAGAGGCAGAGAGGACTGAGAACAGATTATACTGTAGATAGATAGATAGATCAGTGATAGAATAAGATCAGATACCGATAGATAGAGTAGATGATAGGATAGATACGAGTCACGGAATAGATATCGATAGATAGATAGATAGATAGATCTGGATATTGTTTCCTTTGAACAAAGGCTAGCTTTATGCTCCACTCTTTATGCTAAGCTAAGCTAACTGGTACTATTACTGCTGGTAGTAGCTTCATATTTACCAAACAGACATGAGGCCAGTATCAATTTTCAAGATAGTGATCCACAATTTCGAAAAGTTTCTTTTCTTCAGTTGTCTTGTTATTATGTTTTTAATGGAGTTTTTTGTTTGTGTTGACAAAATAATAGAACAGTCCGAAGCTGAGGTTTGCAGTTAAAAAAGATTTCTCTCTCTCTCTGTCACACACACACCCACACACACCATACTCACCTATTCCTTTATATTTGGGTGGATTGGCCTTCTCATCCAGTTGTAACTGGGTCTTGACATACTCTGTAGGGAAAGTAATGCAGATCTCTATGCCACCCGCAATTCCACCTGAAACACAGAAAGTCAGAGCAGATGTTTGAATAAAGAACAGGCCTAAATTAACCTGGAACTGATCAAAAGTGAGTGCTGACTGAGGAAGTTGTTGACATTTTGCTTAAACTTAGCATACCACGTCTCCGTAGCTGCAGTCTAACCAAGCCTGATTCAGTGCCCCGTCACCGTTATGAATTGCAAGGAGGTCCCAGTACGTCATGGATCATTACAGTGACTCCACAAATGGCTTTCCCTCCATAAACATTAAAAGCACTGCCGCCGAGGGAGGCAGAGTAACGAGCCGGGCGAAGATAAATCAAGTGCTTCTGCTACGGCTAAACTACACAGACACTGTGCTGTTTGAGGAATGAAAACTCAACACAAGAGGAGGTTGTGTGAGAAAATTTAGCTGCTTCTTTACAGTAAGTAATGAAGTGAATGAATGAATGAATGTGTAAATGACCGTAAGAAGGTTCAGCCTGAAACTCGCCACAGTCAATGAGTTGAGGAGACAAGGACAAGTGTTCAAAAGCGAGGCTAATGCATAACACAGATGAGTCACAAGGGAGGGAGAATGGGGAGAGGGCTGACATTAATTAAATTATCTGCTCAGCCTACAGGGAGGGGCTCCATTACCCAGGCCAAGACCCTCCATTAACTCAATGACACAGACGCACACAAGCAC